TAAAGAACATATATATATATATATATATAAACAACTAGAATATATACACAAGGTCCAATCTGGGGCTAAGAATCAGAGTAAACAAAATACATCCAGCAATGCTACACAAGTAGCTAAAACAACAAAACATCAAAAGAATAGCTCCATCTGCCAGCTGCAGACTTGCCTCTAGACACCAACCTATCCCTACTCTGCTCCCATACAACGTATGATCATCGCAATCCAAACCACATGGAAACAACAAAGGGTAAGCTAGTGAAAAGAATCAACATACATATATATAAGCATACATGAATGGTAAACAACTACAGCTATCAGCACATCATCAGCATACAACTCATCATATATATATACAACATAAATAGCAGTAAACACACAATGCGTCGTCACGCATATCAGCTAGAATTTGGTCGCTTATAAGCGGTATAGCTCGACCTAGCCCCTATACCGTGGTCGCTTTATACACGTGTTCCTCGTCCTTGCCCACACACGGGACCACTAAGAACTTAGAGGAGAACAGCAAGTTACCACTCTAAGGGTCAACTTTCCAGGGAGGGTTTTCAACAAATTGGGCTCTAAGAGCACCACAGCCGCTCAATCCACACAATGGGATAAGGAAACTTTGAAAACATCTCCTCTAGTCTTAGTGATCAACAACTCAACCTTACGGCCTACAACAGCTCAACCTTACGACCTACAACAGCTCAGCTTTACGGCCTACAACAGCTCAGCCTTCGACCTACAACAACTCAGCCTTACGGCCTACAACAGCTCAGCCTTATGGCCTATAATAGCTCAGCCTTAAGGCCTACAACAGTTATATCAGTATACAACACAGCACAACAAATCAGTATACAACAATAATAGCATATAGCACAGGTAAACAACTTACAGCACAACAATATACCTCAATTATAGCTCAACATCGTAATTCAACATTTATCAACTAGTCAGCACAACAATATTTAACATTTATAGCTCAGCTTAGCATATAACAACATTTATCAGCTATTTCAGCATATATCAACACATAATCATCATATAAGTAATCATCACACCCGCGCCCGGTGCACTCATGGTCGCGCTCGGCGTGGCACAACCAGAGAGCACCAGGGTTCAGCGCGCCCGACACAATTCCTATTGCGCCCGGCATGCTAGGAGACAGAGACCTCAAAGGTATCACAAGCTCGCCGTGCTCATCCCGCGCTCGGCGCAGGGAAAGTAGAGACCTTCCCAGGGTCTCACGCCCGGCGTAATATAAATTGCGCCCGGTGCCACCTCTGGCATTGACTCCCAAGGAGTCTCCACGCCCGGCGAGACGTGGTCATGCCCGACGCCACCTCTGGCAACGACTCCCAAGGAGTCTCCACGCCCGGCGAGATGTGGTCACGCCCGGCGCCACACCAAAATCACCAAAGAGTAGGTCACTGACTGATAGCGCGCCCAGCGTGGTCCAACCACGCCCGGCGTGAGCCATCTAGGGGCATCCATTCTCAAGCTCGCCTGGCGCACACAACCCTACGCCCGGCGGGCTTGACCAATGGAACCCTCTGATGGTCACACGCCCGGTGCCAAGAACTGCGCCTGGCGTGCTACCCATCAACAAGTCTCCAAGTTCAAAAATCTTCCTCAAATCCTGCTCCAACAATCAGAAATTTCACATGCAAGCCAGCCAAAATGCCACATTCTCACCAAACAACTCAAAAACATCATCTTTTTCAACATGCAACCATCAAACAAGAAAAACCCAAATTTCACCCAAAAACCCGTAAACCTGAAAACGAAGTTTTCTTCAATCTCAGCCACAAATCATCCATCATCAAGCATCTAATGAGAAATGGAGAATCCGAGCTAGATGCGAGAATCCGAGCTTCCGGGAAGGAGAAATGGAGAAGAAGAAAACGGACGGGGAGAATTAGAGACGGGGAGAATTAGAGACGGGGAGGAAGAACTTTAGCTAGCTCCGCACACCACAACACAGCAACTACTCAACACCACCACCTAAGGTTCCAAGGAAGAGACCAAAGGTGAAGAGAATGAAAAAAAGAGTGAGAAAAGAGTGAGTGAAAGTGAAGGAAGGGAAAAGAGGGAAGAGATCTCACAAAAAAAAATAAAAAAGGTGAGGAGAAAAAAATTAATGTAAAAATTAAAAAAATTAAAATTACCCACTAAAATAAGTGAGAAATTATAGAAAGATAAAAAAGTATATGTAAATATCGAAAGAGAAAATGGAGGAAATATGTGAAAAAAAAGAAAAAAAGAGGTGCACTTATAAAAAAAGAAAAAAAGAAAAAAGAGGTGTATAACTTTCTGAAAGCCCAAAGCGTGAAAACGGAGAGATATAACGTTCGGAAGGCCCAAACGTGAAAGCGGAGAAGACATAGCGTTGGGAAGGCCCAAAACGTGAAAACGGATAACAGATAACGCAGGCAACCCAAGAGTCGAGGCACTGCTGACTGACACGACAAGCTCCACTCACTCGTCATGCGTGCTTTTTCGAGTACTTCACCGCATCCAATTCACTCTCTCTCAATCCTATCACTTGCCACAATTCTCAAACTTCAATCGACGGTCCACACTAATTCACTTGATCCACCGATACAGCAGGGAATAACCTCTCGTTGACGAGTCACTAGAGAGACAATAAATAAATAAATAAATGAGATGACATACATGAGTTTTAAAGAGAAGGTTGACACAGGAACCACTTCAACAACAACTTCCCATTTTAAGCCTCACTCGCTCACTCTCTCTGCCTTTCTTCAAGGACTTTAGGGTTCTATTTTCTTATCTCAACCCCATTTCAGGTCAACCTCTCTTAGTTACTTATTTTTTCCTTTTTTACTTTTCTAATTTAATTGCTTATTTTGTTGTTGTTGTTGTTGTTGTTTTGGTTTGTTTGTCTCTCTGGTGTTGTAATTGTAATGCTGCATTGTTGCTCTGGCTTTGGCTTTGGAGATTTTACCCGTAATTTTCCTTTTTGATTACTTTTGCCTTCTCGAAATGGGTTGCCTTTGTTTTTTCTTTTTTCAATTTTTTTTAGAATAAAAAAATTGTTTGACTTTTTTTTTTTTTTTTTTTTTTTTTTTTTTTTTTTTTTTTTTT